TGTTAGGTGTAGTCAACTGAATGTTGGAAATCTGGAAAATAATATGTACAGATTGCTCTATTACACATTGCATTTAACATAATATGTACAGTATCTGCCTAAAAATCCAGCTAAATTAATTGGCAATCTAGAGCAGGGGTCTCCAACCTTGGCAACTTTAAGATTTGTGGACTTCAACACCCAGAAAGGAATTCTAGGAGTTGAAGTCCACAAGTCTTAAAGTTGCCAAGGTTAGAGACCCCTGATCTAGAGTATAGCTGAAATAAATTAAGTGAAGGAAGAAATAAAATCAGTACTCGTTTATTATTATCTGCACAACTATGGAGACAAACTGACTTTTAAAATCAAAATACAGGTAGTCCTCGAGTTACAAATGTAATAAAGCCTGCCCATTCCATTCATAACCTGAATGGAACATGGAATGGTACTTTGAACGTGATCACTCCCTTTTGTCCACACATTTGATAATCAAATGCATGGCTTAAGTGCATATGAGGTATTTCGGGGTGGAGGTCATGGGGGGGCTAGTGATGGAACAGGCCACCTGTTCAGACCACCAAGCCTCCCCTGACCCATAGATAACTCTCCCTCCCCTGGGGTCCCCATAATTGCTTCCCATCCTGCGACACCAGGTGACTTACTTTATGAAGATTCATCTCTCCAGCCTGTTTCTTTGCCTGCTTCCTCCTTTCTCATCAGGAAAGGGCTTGAGGAGACCTCCAGTGACAAAAAGGGCCAGGAAGACCAACCCTGGCCTCCTTTTTCATCACCAGAGGCCTCATCAGACTGCTGACAAGAAAGGAGGCCGAGAAGGCCGTGCACAACCCTCTTATATTTAGGATTATTGCAGTATTCTCCATGCCAAAGTCCTTTCTCCTCACCAAAGTGCTTGAGAATTGTGTTCCTTTAGGCTTCGGCAGCCCTTTTCAAAAAGCCTTTGCCGGTAGAAACAGAGCTTCAGAGGAACGTGTCTTACCCCTCCCAAGCTCCGCTGGTGCCAACAAAAGGTTTTTGCCAAGAGCTGCCAAAGCCTACAGGAACACAATCTTTCTGCAGGCTTTGGCAAGGAAATGGCAAATGGAAGGAAGGCCTAAAGGACTGAAGCCTTCCATCTGTTTGCAAATGTCCAGGTCTCAATTCAGAGAATAGAGACATAAAGTGTGAAATCACATGGGATCAGTAACACAGTGAGAACTCACGCTACTTATCTCACAGTACATTAGGCCTGTTATCTGCAAATGCACTGCAACCCTGAAGCAATGAAGCAGGTAAAGAAAGCACGACAGACTGGAGATCTTCACAAGGTAATTGAGTCTCCACAAGCAAAGTGCCTGTGAAGACCCAGCTGGGACAAGGAGGGAAATAGGTGGACCAAATGTTGCAGAGCCTCTGTGGTTTTAGGAGTAGTTTTGTCATGTACCACTGAATCAAAGGCTTTACAGAAGTCTATGTAGATTGTATCTATTGCTTTGCCCTGATCGAGTTGTGTAGTCCTTATGTTTTTGCAGTGTAAGAGTTGCAGATTACAGGATAGTTTTTTTCTGAAACCAAATAGTTTATTAGAGAGTAGGTTGTTTGTCTCTAAGTGGAGGATAATGGATTGGTTAATAATGGATTCCATGACTTTACAGGTGACGCAGCATAAAGCGATTGGTCTTTAATTTTCAACTAGGCTGGGGTCTCCATTTTGAAGATGTCGATGCGTGGCTAGTGACCATAGGTTTGGCAAGGAGGTGGTCCTGAAAGATTTTTCAAAGATTATGCTTAGAGGTTCGGCTTTGGCAGTGGATAACTGTTTTATGGAGCAGGCACATATTCTGTCCGGCCCAATAGATAGAGATGGTTTTAGATTGCGTCATGCTTTTTCAACATTGTCTTCTGTAAAATCGATATGTATTAGATCATTGTAGTTGTCTGTGGTTTGACTAGGAAATACTGGGCATGATCCATTGCTGTTTACAAATACTGAGCCAAAGACTATGTTAAAGAGGTTGGCTTTAATGGTGTCATCATTGCAGTCTTTACCATTTGGTCCTTTCAGGGCTGGGGTGGACCTTGAGTCTTTTAGTTTGTTGTTTACAAAATCGTAGAAAGTGTGGGTGGAATTGGTGCATAGAAGGTTTTCCTCTTGTTTAATGTGATAATTGGTGCATTCAGCTTTTATCTGGTGGCATAAATGTATCAGCTTTTAAGGTTGGCAATGTGACCAAATTTGTTTTTCCACCAAAGGGATTTCTTTTTGGATTGGAGCTTCCTTATTGTTACGGGTAATTTGTTTTTTGTTTTGGGGAGTTGTTATTGGTACATATAGTTTGATGACTCTTTTGACTTCAAGTAAAAACATGTTGTAATGGTCTTCAACAATATTGCATCCAGTGAATAGAAATTGCCAATCAAGGGATGAGATTGTTGTCTATAAGATCATAGTTGCCTTTTTTTAAGTTATACTTGGGGATCCCATCGTTATGATGATTTTTGTGTGGATGTATGTTGAGACAAAAGTCAATCATGCTGTGGTCACTGTTGGAAAAGGGTTCTTTAATTTGTATTCTGTAAATTGAATTCAAACTATTGCAGAAGATGAGATCGAGGCAGATGTTAAGTTTAGTATTGTTGGTTACTAGTTGTTCTAGTCCCAGATTTGTTACAGCATTGTAGAAGTTTGCATGTATGGGTTCAGTTGTACATTTGTTTAGGGTCCAGTTAATATGAGGTAGATTGAAGTCACCAAGAAAGATAAAATCGTGTGGGCAGGATGTTGCCCATGTTAATAGTGAATTTAATTTGTTTACATGTTTGATGTCATAATCAGGGGCTCTGTAACATAGTTAGAATCGAAATGTGATATTTAAGGACTGTTCACAGAAAATGGTCTCAGGAAAAGCAAGCTCCTGGGTAACGTGAATGTTTTTTAGATGTAGGGACTTTTTATAGAAGATAGCAACATCACCTCCTCTATGGATTTCACGATCTGATCGGTAACATGATAGTCTCTTACTGTGGTAATGCAGTCAGGGAGAGATGCATTGAGCCATGTTTCACAGACAAATATGACGTCAAATTTAGCCATATTTCGTAAGAGGAAAAATTCAGGTATTTTATTTACAAGGCTTCTTGCAGTGAGTAGCTTGCATTTAAGGCCAGTTGTAGTTGGAATTGAAATAGGGGCGTGCGTGCCTAGTTTTGGGTGAGGGTGGATTGGATGAAGTAGGGTTGGATGCGGAGTTGTGGGTTGTGTAACTAACTTTTGATACAATCAGCACAGTAGTCAATGTATAGGTCCTTCTCTCCATTGTCTAGATGTATTTTGAGTTCTGTGCAGAGTTCACGGGAGCGGATTTTTTGCAGTATGGATAAGTCTGGTCCTGAGTGAAGTTTGTTAAGAATGGAATTGGTTTTAGCAATGGTATTTATTATATGAATGAATATCCGTTTGCTGGACTCATTTGTGAAAACAGCTCTCCAGAATCTTGGGGCCACCGAGCCATCATTGTATTTGACCTCAGGGCCATCTCTGGTTATTTCAATATCTTCAGGAGAGATGTTTGTTGTATTGGAGTTGCTTATGATATTGTGAACTTTGGTGATATCATCAGATTCATTGGTGTCTTCTAGACCAAATAAGATGGCATTTGGACGTTTCTGAGGGGATATCATTTGTGGTATTATTTGATGGGATAGTGATTATTTGTGGCTATAGTTTGGTGGTTATTTTTGGTTGTAGTTGTGATTGTAGTTGAGGTAGTGGTGGTAGTGGTTGTTGAGTTGAGATTTGATTTTGAGCTGTAAGGTATTAACTTATTTGTGCTGTATTTTTTTCTTCAAGAGAGATTAGGCTTGCTTGTATAGTTTCAAAACGTGTTACTAAGCGTTCTTCTATTGAATGAATGATTCTGTGCTTTCAACTGTCAGACAGAGTACTTAGTTTGTTTAGCTTAGGTAAACTTGATGGACATCGACAAGGAAATGTATCTTATGTTTGTAGATCAGCTAGATTTTTAGTTAAGTTTAAGCAGACGAGGTGGGCTTGATTATCACATAGGTGGCATTTAATGTTATTTTCGCTTTCATTGATGGTTTCAAGACATCTGAAGCATGTGCGGGAGTCTGGGAGGTCTTTGGTAGAGATATTATTCTTTTGTTGGTGTTTGGTAGTGGAAGGTTTGGAGATTTTGGCTGGCATGGTCAATGACAATAGCTTATTAATGTGATAGGTAGTTACTTAATGAATGTTGGTAATTAGTAAATGTTAATTGATAAGTTAGAGAACAAAAGTAAGGTTACTTATTACTAAAAAATCAAACAATCAATGAACTAGATAATGATACAGTATTAAATTACTTGTGTGGCGGCAGGCGAGGGCTGCCTTGAGTTGAAATGTGGCACGAAGGCAAGTACAGGGCTGTTTTGCTCCTGCACTAAGACTCTGGTGACTGGGGCAGGGCAAGCCAGGAGTGGGATTTGGGGGCTCACTGAGCCCCGCAGTTTTTTAGCTAGGGGATCACCCGAGCCCCTGCCAGCCCCCAAGCAGCCACCCCTGGCTGAACTCTAGATCATGAAAGAGGGACCAGAGCTTAAAATGGACTGCTGGCAACATTCTGAGTTGCTGCTGAATTGAATCTCCCATACAGAAGCACTGGAGGAATTCTAGAATTTCTTTTTTCTTTTTTTGCTACATACAAATGGGATTTGAATTGTTATTTAAAATACAAATTATTAGTGTAATATTATCAATACAGCGCAAGCTATTGATGTTTCTTTCCCCAATTTTAAAACCACTCCCAATCCAGTTTCTATTAATACTGATGTATTTAGTATAAAACTAAACTTAATGATCTCTTCCCTTTTTGATTCAGTCAACTGGGGGAGATGTTTTATTGGAAATGTTATACTCTAATTACTCTCAGTTTTAATAAACTGATTACTAAAGCCTTTGCAACCAAATGTTGGGCATATTGTTCACTATCATCAATATAATAGAAAAAAGGAAAAATAAATATCAACACTGAATCAATAATAATACATATTTTAATTGAATTGATAACATTTATAATTCGATAATATACGTTCTGTACTTTATATAGAATACATCCTACATTTTTAAAGAAGATGATGATGGCTTTGGTTTTGTTTCTCAAGTAACAACATTTGTTGCTTTCCTTAGTGTAAGGTAACCCAAAATAACATCTGAAGGAAGCATTCGGATATAGGCAAATTCCTCAGTTGTACTAAATCTCAGTTTGCTTTGAGGATCAGTATAGTTTGCCTGTAAGAGAAGCACATATTGAAATATCTGAGTGAAAGTATCAGAAATTGCACCTTTTTAAAAACAGCAAAAATCAATACTATAGGAAACATGTCATTTAGTTTTCCTTCTTCCTTTGTTCTATCCATCCAGGTTTTCATAATAATAAAAGTTCAAATTTTAAAATACATTTTGAAATGGATTTTCTATTTAACTAATTTTTCAATAATAATAATGGTTATCAATACCTAAAAAAGATATCATTAATATTTGAAGGAATTATGAGGTCATTTAGTTCAACCTCCTGCCCAAATATAGGAATTCTCATATCATCCCAGACATGGTTCTTCAAACTTTTCTTTAAACCTCCAGAAATGGAGCACCTATGATTTCAGGAGATATGCTGTTTCACTTCCATTATTATGGAATATATGTTCTTTCACTATGTCCTTTCACTAGGTTATAATGTTTTTTCCTTGCTAGTCCTGCAAAAGTCTTGAAAAACTCATGGACGTATTGGACATATAATATAGAATAATAGGTTGGGAGGAACCTTGGAGAACTTTCAGTCCAACCCCATGCCTATTGCAGGAGATCCTATTACTATTCTGAACAATTTGCTGTCCAGACCCCAGTGAGGAACTATCCACAGCTTCCAGAAGCATGCTGTTCCATTAACTGTCCTCATTGTCAAGAAATTTCTCCTTAGTTGTAGGTTGGATCCCTTTTTAATGATCTTCTATCAGTTACTTCTTGTTCTGGCCTTGGAGAATAAGTTAACACTCTTCTTTTAGATAGTTCCACAACTACTAGAAGACTGTTATCATATCACCACTAGTCCTTCTTTTTGTTACATTAGACATACTAGCTCTTTCAATAATTCATCCTATGGTTTGGCCCCCAGACTCCTTATTATCTTTCTTTTTTCTCTGCAAGCTTTCTAGGGTATGGGCATTTTTGTATCATTGTCACCAGAACTGGACATAATATGCCAAGTGTGGTCTCACTTGTGCAGTTTAAAGCAATATTATCACTTCACCTGATCTTGATGCTATCACTCTATTGATGCAGTTTATGATTGTATTAGCTATTTTGACATAGTGCTGCCTGGTGGTGGTCTACTAGGTGGTCTGGTGGTCTACTAGGATACCTGGATCTCTTCCATAGTTGCTACTATTGAGCCAGATACCACCTAGTCTGTCTCTCTGTATTTGGTTTTTCTTGCCTATTTGTAGGACCTTACTTTTCTCAGTATTGAACTGTATTTTCTTGGATAGGATCTAGTGCTCGTCAAGGAAAAACTGCTAGGTTGACAAGAGCTGAGGCAAATGATATTACACCCCCAAGGTTCTATAACTTATATTTTCAGTCTGGATTTGTTTTTGATTATTTTATTAGAAAACTGCTAAACAACAATGGAGGTATTTAGACCAATACAGAGAAAAGTTGAATTCTAAAATAAGTTTAAAATACTTACAGGAAGTCCTGAAATATCAGAATATTTTTTGACTGGTTTAAATGAAGTAAGAGCATCAATACTGAAGTCTGGGGAAAAAGAAATTAAAAAGAAATTAGATTCACTTTGATACACTGGCTGGCCTCCAATTCTCAGGCAATTTACATTAAAAATTTTAATCTAGTGCCATATTTTTTTCCAATCAGCATAAATATACAGATAGTGTCCTGGCCAAGCAAAGACATGTAGTTAGATTCTAATGCTTTTGAAATTTGAAGTATTCGTTTAAATTAAATTGTAAAGTACCAATTGAGTAGCAATTTAAATTACAATATGTTCAAATTATGGAATCTTATTCTTAACAAGTGATTTCCATCCAGAGAATGTCCCTTCTGAAAATTACTCAGAATTACAAAAAGTTCAACTAAAATATATACCTTATTAAAAATACAATACCAAATGCAAAACATCAATAGGATGATTAATACAGATTTAAAAAACCAATATTGCATAGGCAAAAATGGTTTTTTTAAAAATTAAAACCACCCAAATGAGAACAAAAACAAACTTTGGCAAAAACAATATAAACACTTAGAAAAGGATGAAAAAGGTGTACTTCATGGACTGAGTGGGGCCACTGCTTCAAAATCAAGTCTTCCATTCAAAATAGCACTGTAGCCAGATGAATATTGGCATTTTCTACTCCCTCTCTAAAATTATATTATAATTGCTACTTTAATTGGTAACAATAATAATCTGAAACAGGTAATTAGGTTCTTTTCATTATCAGAGAAGGCAAATTTATTTCACTAAGAAATTTCTATCACAATCTTTTCCCAGAAAAACAATAATTTCAGCAGTTTTGAGAAAGATGTGATGATCATTTTTCTGAAATGAAAAGAAATAAAAGAAATTAAAACATTAATCTCATCTGACAAAACAGATGGAAATAACTAAGTATATTTACAGAAATTTATTATGATAATATCTGTGATGACCCAGAGTATCTCAGAAATATAACAAAAACCAAAACATAAATAAAAGTCCTTTAATGCCTTCAACTTGGCTTCAGTGTTTAATTGTTCACAGCGGAGGAGTAAACTATTTTCAAAAAAACATTTCAAAGGAAAGAAATACAGTTCAAATTCTCTCCCGATAACGAAGCAAAAACCAAAAACAAACCGCACTGAATAAAGTTCCATGACAGACCAGGATAGATAATTGCCAACTTTAGGAAGATAATCAGGTACAGTCCGTTGGAAGAACTCCAACCAAGATAAACCTTCTTTAAGAATAAAACACTAAATTGTCTCCAGCATCTGTTAGCATGCAGGTCCAAACTCTCATGCAAATCTCACACCTGCAACCCATGAAGAGGGTCATGGCCCTCTCCTCCTGAGTAGACCACGTTTTACCCTGATCCTCTCCTCCCTGCATGCCCTAGGATGGATAGGGGATGGGATTGGGTCCTCCTCTGGCTGCTCAGCTGGCCTCTGCCCTTCCCCAGCCTCCTCCACCACCTCTGGAGCCACATTTCCACTCCCTGTTGGCTGTTCCTCCTCTTCCTCAGAGTCAGTCTCCACCAGGGGCATGACAATATCCTTCAGGATAAAATGGGAATCTTATTTTTGGATAGGTGTTATTGATTTGTGTTATTATGATTGTAACAGCAGAGTTCCCTTAGTCTTAAAAAAAACCCAACCTACAGCTTTTTTTTCCATCAGTAGAGGATGCTTCAGTATGACATTAAGATTCTGCTTTAGTACACAGTTCCCTTAATTATGAAAATTAAAAACAAAAACCAAAATATTTTCAAAAAACGTTATGTACAGTATTAATATTTCTGCTGAAATACCAATCATGATTATAACAACCCTTTTGGAATTAGATTCTGCTAGCTAAATAAATCTAGATATCTAGAGTTGACATACACCACTTACATTGAACTGCATTTTTTTCAACTATGATGTATACCTTTTGATTCAGCTAGCACTTCACATAATGTGTTTTCAGTACTTTTTTTTAGTAAAAGGAGTCCCTGCAGATTTTACACTGCCAACTATTGGGGGAGATGCTTATTTCAAGGCTCTTGAGTCAGTGATCCCAGAAGACATTTCCATGAGCATGTGGCCAGCATGACATCACAGAGTTGTTACCGTCTCACAAAAGTGGTACCAATTTATCTATTCACATTTGCATGCTTTTGAACTGCTAAGTTGGAAGCAGCTGGGATGAGAACACAAAGTCACCCCGTTGTGTGCTACTCAGGTCTTGAATCTGGACTGCCAGCTTTCCAGCTGACAAGTCCAGCATTTTAACCACCGAGCCACCCCTTCTTTTTTTTAGCATGACAACAGAAAATAAGATGAAGACAACTACTACTGTTGGAATGATAGCTGTACAAATAAGTTTTGAAATGTGACAACTACATTTCCTTCTAAACTGAGCTCAAAAAATATTTCTAATGACAAATAAGCATAATTTTTGTGGGAGGAAAGAGGAAAGAATAATTTTAAATTTAATAATTTTTAAAATACATAGTACTGAAATCAAATCAACAAGTAATGTATCCATTTAAGTGGAAAACAAGAAATTACTTTTCTCTTGAACTTTTATGGGAAGCATAAAAGTCTATAGTATAAACAAATATGTCTGTCAAAGCAAGTACCGTGTTTCTCATATAATAAGGCCGGGTCTTTTTTTTTTTTTGAGCCCCGAAAAAAATGGCTAGGCCGTCTTTTTGGGGGTGACTTAATTCCCCCCCGCCCGCATCTTCAGGCAGGTGGGCAGTGACGGATTGGATGTTGATCTCGGTGTTGGTGGGGCACTTTGTATCAGGTTCAACGCAGGCAGCACCATATCCAGCTGTGCAACAAAAGTACTTCCTAACAGCAAGCCCCCCCCCCCCCCGCCATTTCCCCCCATTACGCATGTTTTAATATAGGCCTTAATTTGGGGGGAGGGGCTTAATTTCATTTCATGCCTATAAAACATGCTGGAACTTCCTATTGGGGGAGGCCATATTGTTGGAGAAAGGGTAATAACACCAAAATAATATTTCTTCATATTCTTCAAAGAACCACAATGTTCTTTCACTTTTCTTCAGATGCATTTTATATGTTTTTTTTTTTACTTTTAAAGCATTTCTAAGTCATTAGGTATTCTCCTTTTAGAAATAGTTATCTGTGATAATTATATCTTTTGAAATAATGGCTATATTTTTCCCCATATTTCAATGTATTTTAACTGTCTTTTTGAGATATGAAAATTTATTTGTAAAGGAAGGGAATATGCAAAATGCATAGTACAATTCCATGTCATTCTAATTATTTTTTTGTCCATGTTGTATAAGTATCCTCCTCAATTTCCTTTGCTGAAATCTACTTGGTCACAAGCTGTTATTTATAAATATGTAAGAAAAATCTAAAGAGCTTACAGTTTGGATCATTTAATTGCCATGGCAGTGTTCTTTCTGAAGAAAGGATTTGTTTCAGATTCTTCCATGTTCTGTTCTTCTTGCCAGCTGCTGCTCCACCAGTGCCAGAGTGCTGGAATATTAAAGCGTATATTTAACAAGTATACTGACACTATTTAAATAGCTTTTGTTGCAGCACTTATTAAAACAGTTTAACTATTTATTTTATGTTAAAAGAAATGCTGGGGAGTTCTTTCTTGCAAGTTAAAAGAAGAAATGTTTATTCTGCATAAGAACCAGTGTGTTTACACTCAAAGAAAACCTGTGAAAAGCTTTCTGGAAACTGTCTTAACATAAAATGAAATGGTGAAACAGAATGCTAGGAAGGTTACTCATGGGTTTCCAGAACTTGATAAATATGATTATGTTGTTATTTTTTTTAACCAGCTTCTTCATTCCCTTTTTAATAGCTCTATTGTATCTTACCAAAAGTCATTTTTCATTATTTCTATATAATGTTAGTTAATCTACAATTATCAACAGCTAAGATAAAAATTGGTTAAAATCTATGAAGCTTTTGTTTTTTTATCAGTTTCAATGTAAAGTTCTTTAGATTGTAAATTACTTGGATACAAGAACCCCATATAATACTAAGTGAAGATATCTGTTTCCAACATAACTTTATTAGGATTTAAATTTTTGTCCTCTTATATTATTTGTTATTTTAAATATATTATTTTAATAATATTGGTTTTAATTGGAGTTATTAGGCATACTGTGCATATCAAATAAAAACCAGGCAAGAAAGATAAACATTTAAAAAAGATTAGGAAGAGGACAGAGAGATTAGAAAGAAAGTAATTGAAAGCAGAGGGAAGGAAGAATGGAAGAGAAATATGGAATTACATAGTCAAATACTTGAATGAGTTCCACATTTCATAGCTAAACTACTATAGATAAAAAAGGTTATTGGTCTCAAGAAAATGTAATACATTTGTGGAAAAAAATACATACAATAAATCTTGGAGCTTTAAAAGGAAAATGCTTGATAGAAGTTTCTATTGGTCCTGTGCTTGTATTGATCGTCATGGCTTTGTTTTCATTCACTAGTTCTGCATTGGCACTCTGGGGAAAAATACATATATTAATTTGAGGGAGAAATAAATGCAGTTTTATAAAATCCAACCCTTAATTCAAGCTTGTTTCAGAATTTTATCAAAGTTACTGTGAGTTGTTTTGCTCACTATTAAACCAGTAATCCTGAACCATGAATATATAAAAACAGACTGGCTTCATATCTACCAAATCATAAAGTGGCTTATTTGGTTTTGGCTTAGTGTACTATATAAATCCAGCCAATGTAATTTGTAAGACATGACACATGACTTAACTTGCTATGTGAGCCCAAGCAATTGCTCAGAAAACTCATCATAACTTTGCACAAAAATTATTCAAAATAGAGTGTTTGCAGTATTAAACTGGCATAATTAAATGTACTGGAACTACTGTATAGTGAAAGGCAGTTAACTATTAGGGTTAATTTTAATAATACTCTACTTCCCCCTGAAAATCAGAAAATCATAATAGCAAATATATGAGACAGACACACACACACACACACACACACACAATACTCCAAAACGAACTCATGTTCTGTAATCACTAAATTAGTTAGTGTCTTTCACATATTTTGTTCAGAATTGTTTGAGAAATTGAAAAAACATTTATGACTCTATGTTGAGGATTGGATTCAACTCATGTACATTCTCTGCATTTTTGAAAAAGCAAAAAAATAAAAACATTTATTTTGTATTTTTCTCTTTGGCACATTTTATGATAATTACAACATATTTCTTTTTTAATTTGAAATGTTTGTATATTGCTAAAATGTTTGATATTCAGTGATATACATAGATTGTTCATATCTGTTTTTCTATTTCCTTATTATTGCTTATTTTTATGTAGTTTTGTTTTTTATTTTTGTTTATTTTGTTTAGAGGCAGTCTTCCTTTAATGACCAGAATTGGGAACAGCAATTTGGTCAGTAAGCAAAAAGGCTGCTAAGTAAAGCTGTTTATATGCTTATGATGTTATATAAACTATCTTTTGTATTATACAACTGCAAAAGTCATAGATGTGAAGATTCTATGTTCTACGTTCATTGTAAATATGACAGTTGCTAAAGAAGAACTTTCTGCATACAGGTCCAGGCTTAAGTCCATTTGTTCAGCAACCATTCAAAGTGACTGAAGTGCTGAAAAAATATACGACCAGTCCTTGAAGTTCCAGCCATCACAGCACTCACATGGTCACATGATGGGCATTTAGGTGGCCAACTTGTGATTATGACATTTCAGGTAGCTATAGTCACATGATTGCCATTTGCAACCTTCTCTGATAACTCAAGTCACCTCTGTTTTTTCTTACTCTACTGCACATGATACCCACATGCAACCACTACTAGCCCTCCTTGGCTCTTCCCTGTCTTCCCTAACCCCTGCAACATGTCCATGCTTTCCAGGGCACCCTGATGCATCTCCCCACCTGGGATTCTCACATCTTCCTATTTAAAAGCCCATGTGTTTTGAGGTTACAGCAGTAATCAGGATTGTTGCACTAAAGGATATAATTAGGTAAAGCTGTGCTTTACAACTGCATCACTTAATGAAGGCAATTCTATCCCAGTTGCCATAATAATTTGACAGCTACTCATAGCTTGCTTTAATGTTTCTTGTACTTAATTGGGAAAGTTCTATTGTTGTGGTATGTTTTTAAAGTGCATTTTTTGAAAATTCTGCAAACACAGGCATAACTATAGAAATATCAAAATATTTGTGGTTTGCTTATGGTGTGGCTATGTGACTTATTTAACACTCTAATGATTATTGTTCTATATGAAAAAGTAACAATATTAAAAAATAATGTAAAAATGTTGATAAAATAACCAAAAAAAGTGCAATAAGGCTTTTCAAGGCAAAGGGGTTAGTTCAAAGATTTTTTGTTCTTGTGCAGATCACTGAAATATGTATGAATGTGAGAAGAAAATTATATTGCATACATTGATTCAGATCAGTTTTTTTCAAACTTGGCAACTCTAAGTTCTATGGAATTCTAGCTGTGGAGCTCTGGGAACTGAAGAGCACACATCTTAAAAGTTACCAAGTTTAAGAAATATTGATATAGAGAAAGAAAATTGAAATAAGCTGAATTACATAGTTTTGTGTAAATATAAAACTTAAGGGTGCTTGCTGAATGTGATTAAGAATGATGATGGAAGTAAAATAAATTGTCAGACCTACCCCAGTCTGATATCTTAGAAAGGAAAAGTCTCAACCCCATTTGGTTGAAGCAAAAGATATTTTTACTAAGAGATGCAGATTGCAGTAAAGCCAGAAGGCATCTAAAGTTCCCATGCATCAATACAAAATTATGTCCTTTGACTCCCTAAGTCCCGTCATCTTCATTTCCCTGCTTTGAATGTATTGGCTGCCTAATGTAGTTGTATTTTACAGGAAAAATGAATTGAAAGAATGCACACTCTTAAGTGTCAGAAAAGTAGAGTAAGTAGATGCATACAATACCTTAATAAAATATTATATTAAAGATGGAAAATGGATAAAGAAATATTAAAACATGCAAATCCAGGTAGGCGAGTGAATGATATGCAGGCTATGTATAAAAGTATGTCTCTGATCATTTTGTTTTACATGTAGTCCTTGTTTAATGACTGTTTAAATTGATATTAGCCATGGGAAAGGGTGCTTTATGGCCCATAAAGCACTTCCAACATCACCACACATTGCTTACACCCCATCCTACAGTCATATGACTTCATTCTGGGTGCTCAGCAATCTACTTACACTTATACTCATTTGCCAAGGTCTCTGAAATCATGATTGTCATTTGCAATCTTCTCCGCCAGCCTACCCTGAAAGTCAGCAGGGAAGGTTGCAAGCTGCACTAAAATCCTGTGCTAAAAACATTTTAATGCATTTTACTGCATGCTAAAACATACTAAATTCTTTGTCTCCCTGCCTCTACTGCCTGCAAAAGAGGCAAGTGCTAAAAATTATCTTCATACACTAATAACATTATAATACAGTTTTTTCCGTAGATATTTGAATTCTGCGGACTTGTGAAAATATGTAAATTGTAATACTTTTGTTATATTCTTTTTTGAGTACCTTGGCCATGAATGTGTAGATACCCACGATTGTCAGAAAGTTCTAATGTCTTGCAATTGCTCCTGAGATGGCTTACACTTGTATTATCAGATATACTTTTGAAGTGATGGGAATGTATTAATCTTTATGAAAGATCTACAGGTTTAGTTCCCTTCTTACAGAAGACAATTTCGAATCAGTATGGTTCAGGGCCATTTCACAAATACTCCAGTATTTTGTTTTCTCCAGGGAACTCTTTTTGATGATATATGAGTTGTGCACTTAATGCATTCAAACAGAGTATCAAGATCTCGAAATCCAACAAGCTCAGGCTGTACTCCTTTAAGAATGGACCTATTCACAGATAATGGGTGAAAATCTAACTGTAAAAGGGATTCTGTGAAGGTACATAAGATGGTATTGTTATATTTGTAATAGAAATAATGTTAGAAAATTGGAAACAACATATGATTAAAAAGAAGGATAAAATAATCAGTGTAATTTAGTGAAACTTTTGTGAACAAAATAAATGAAACAAAATAAATGAGAGAATTGAATTAGGAAGGAACGGGAACATTTTAATTACTCAATGTTTTATAAAATATAAGTGAAGTTGGGGGGAATTAACTATGGAAAGTTTATAAGTGTTCCCATAGAAGTATGATATTTATCTGAAAAGTAATGTGTAAAATGTTAAGATTTAAATGAATATTAATATTAATGATAGAATTGAATTGGTATGGATTATTGTTCTAATTATATTATACATTTATAATTTTTTCTTTTTTTAAAATACAGTGTGTAGTTTTAGAAAGTACCAAGCAGAATCCAAATGGAAGTTATGTATTATATTAAGTGTTATAATTTCTATCTTTTAAATAGGCTGACTTCAAATTATAGACCATCCAGCAGGCTCGACGCTGTGTCTGACGTATTTCACTGGCGCCAGGTCTTTACATCAGAAGAGGCTGTTTGGCTCTATCCATCAGAAGAGGATGCTCACCACATGTCCATTCTATTTCTCTACTATTTCTGAAACTTCCGATAGAAAATGGAGTTACCCCCTTATAGCACGCCGTAGTTAGAACTAAATTACCCACAAGTGGCAAAAGCAGCATACGCCATGTATATATACAAAAGCTAAACACTGAACATCACTAAAATTATCTACGTTATATAAATCGCGTAAAAACATGGGTTACCATAAATGTGTGTTTTCCGGAGCACGGCTGGTTTTCAACTTCCTTCTTCGCCGGAAAAAAAACAAAACACCATCTTCCCCCGAAAAACCCAAGAGAAGAGCGACGGAAACCAAACGGAGCTTTAGATCACGTCACTCAGTCGAAAACTAGGCAGTGCTTCTCAGAAGTAATTTCGTGAAGAGGCGCATCAGTTTCCCGATTGGTGCATACAGGGAAGGGGGCGAGGCCACTAAGCATTAGCTTCGGTTGCGGCTCTATAACTTTTTCCAGTCTAGCTATGCCGGAAATAAGTGCAAGTAAAGACGAGCGGCAAAGCTCTTAAAGAGTTCTGTGATTTCAAGCATTAAACACTAATGTAGTTTTTTGTAGCAGAATGGTCTTTCCTATTTTATACCAAGACCTGTGATTTAAATTTAAATAGCAGACTTTCAATTTCATATATCAGACCTTAGTTTGATGTCTTAATACAGTAAGCACTGTTTAAATGACAGGCGGTATTTCACACAGCAAATAGCGGTTAAGTGATAGCAACCTGTGATTTCATATAGCAAATGCTTATGTAGTTAAGCAATTTTGTCATTTTATGAAGCAGACTGTTATAAGTAGCATATATTTCATGAACCGTCATTCCAGAAACACTGGTTTTATCACAAATGTGATTGCATGTACTAAACACTGATTTAGTCAGATAGCTTCTATACAGATAGTCCTTAACTTACAGCAGTTTCTTTAGTGACTGTTGAAAGTTATGACACCGAAAAAAGCAACTTATGACCATTTTTCACAGTTACGACCTTTGCAGCATCTCCACAGTCACATGATGAAAATTCAGACACTTGGCAACTGACTCGTATTATTTATTATGGTTGCAGTGTGCTGGGGTCATGTGATCAGCTTTTACAACCTTCTGATAAGAAAAGTCAATGGGGAAGTCAGATTCACTTAACAACCATGTCTCTAACTTAGCAACTGTGATGATCCACTTAACAAATGTAGCAAGAAAGGTAAAATGAGACAAAACTCACTTAACATATTTCACTTAGCATCATAAATTTTGGGCTCAACTGTGGTTGTAAGTTGAGGACTACCTGCATTTACAGATCTGAGTCACAAAATCCAGATAGCATTAGATTATCTCTGCTGCCATCTAATAATCATCAAACTTTTTCACCAAATTTCCTTCTTCTTAATTTGGTAATTTATAATAGAATACAAATAATAATCAAACCTAAATATAGTAATAAAAATAAAAATGCAGCCGTGATCAATATAATCACAAAAGAAAGTTCTATATTCTCTTGATTAAAATGAATGAAAACTGAAGAAAAAAGTTCCATATAATAGTATAAAAATGTCTCAATCTTGTAAAATATTAAAATTAGATCATACATTGTGCTGTCTTCCCATTTTTACAAAATAGACATTTCAAAAAATAAAATTTCAATAAAATAAAAATTACTCAGAAATGTAATCATTTTTCTAAATATGTAAAATAATTATCTTTGCTGAATCATAGTTTCATTAAAGCCAGAGTTCTCCATAAAATGTCATGTTTCATATTTTTAAATATAAGTCAGAATCATATTTATATTTTACTGGGTATTTTTCTCCGGAGTTGCATTAACATCATTTAAAGAACCGTTAACAGATGTAATCAAATAATTTAAATCAATGTTAGCGTAAATAATCCAATATCCAACATTCCTTGGAAATTCCATGATTTTTTGATGAATTAATTTCATTTTTAGGTCATAAGAATAATTTATATTTCTTAAAATGTGGGTTTTTTGCTATTCAAAACTGGATATTCCAATTCCTTACTCCAATTATATATTATCAATTTTAACCTTCTTTAATTTAACCCTAACCTTTTTGAGTTTTATGTAAAATTAGATTGTAATTTTTATTTCAAATACAGCATTTCTTAAAGATCAAATAGCTGCTAAAACATTTGATCGGTGCTATTTAATGATATATGCTTTAATTGTAATATTGCCAAGCAGATGATTCATGTAAGTTATATTCAAAATGTAATGTATCAAAATATATAAAATTGGTATTACTAATCAATTGGTTCAAGCTATTTATCTCTTGTCCAAGAATTCCAATTAAAATCTCTATTTTCAATCTAGAATTACTAAGAAAGTGCTAGCATTATCTCAAAATTCCAAGTCAAAATTTAATTACTTTTCTATTAATAACCAAATACATCTAGCAGCTTTAATAGTTGGGTAAACAACCCTCTTTTAATCATCAGGTGACCCTCAGACTTGCCAAGATTTCAAATGACTCAAATGCTGGCAAAGTGAGCCTAAAAATGATAAGTTAAATAAGCTTACAGCCCATCTTGGTACTCATTATATAATAAACAAAAGATTATATAACAATAACTAATAGTAAGTGGAGGCAGTTGTGGGTTCAATTTTTTTTTTACTACTGGTTCTATGGGCGTGGCTTGGTGAGCTTGGAGTGGCTTGGTGGGCATGGCAGGGGAAAGATACTGCAAAATCCCATTCCCTCCCCACACTACTAGCCTACTTTCCAGCTCCGTTCTCCTGTGCAGGGCAACAAAAATGAAACCCAGCAGATCAGCTGGGACTTGGGCAGAGAACAGATGGGGCCAGGGCCAGTCAGAGATGGCATTTGCCAGTTCTCTGAACTACTCAAAATTTCTGTTACTGGTTCTCCAAAACTGATCAGAACCTGCTGAGTACCACCTCTGCATAGAGGCTAGTGATTCTGCAGAGTGAACACAAGTTTATCTTAGGCAGATTTATAACTTATTGCCTTACTGGGAGAAACCAACTAATCTTAATGAGTGAATGAATAGAATGAATGAATGAATTCTTTATTGGCCAAGTGTGATTAGACACACAAGGAATTTGTCTTGGTGCATATGCTCTCAGTGAACATAAAAATCATAAAGTACAACACTTAATATAATCATAGGGTATAAATAGGCAATCAACTCATACTACGAAACAGTCAATATAAATCCTAAGGATACAAGCAACAAAGTTATAGTCAAGCGGGAGGGGATGGGTGATAGGAGTGATGAGAAATTTAATAGTGATAGTAAATAGTTGGACAGTGTTGTGGGAATTTGTTTAGCAGAGTGATGGTGTTCGGGGAAAAAACTGTTCTTGTGTCTAGTTGTTCTGTTGTGCAGTGCTCTATAGCGTCATTTTGAGGGAAGGAGTTGAAACAATATTTTCACAGCCCTCTTTTTGACTCCTGCAGTATGCAGGTCCTCAGTGGAAGGCAGGTTGGTAGTAATTATTTTTTTCTGCAGTCCTAATTACTCTCTGAAGTCTGTGTCTGTCTTGTTGGGTTGCAAAACCAAACCAGACAGTACCATAAGAAAATAGTACTGAGTATTCATCATTCTTCCTCATCAGATTATCCTGCACATTTCCATGTAAAAAGATAAACTGTTTTCAATAATTTATTACTTGGATGAAAAGAAGGAATCTTTTTCAGATCTTCAAGTGTCAAAACATGCATACACGACTGCAGAAAAATCTGAAAAAAGCAGGATATTTGGGAGATTTTTTTCATTGGGGGTCCACGGGCAGAGTTATCTGATAAAGCAGAATATCTGTAGCTCAGGATTTAAATTAGGAGTTCTTGGTGCTCCCTGAGATTGATTCTTTTCTTGCAGACATTTTGTTATCCAAACTAAGTAGCATCATCAGTGCACAAGAGCCACCTGTCTGACATCTTCTTTACTTCCACTTTACCCTTTGGATGTCAATGAAGATACAAAGTTCTGATTCTTGCTTTTCTGGTAGCTTCAACCAATTGTTATTTAATGCTGCTCTAATGTGTCTTTGATGTTATCTCTTCATCTTCTGACCTGTCCCGTATTCTTTGAGCTTTTCCTGTCTCGTGCAGTATTTTAATTTGCATTCCAGTCCTGCATAGAGTAGGGAGGAAAGCATAAAAATCTCTTCCAATTCTTCCATTCCAATGTAGCATTTGTTGCATGAAATAATCGGTCTCTAAAATCAGCCTCATGAAGATTGAACTCCGCACAACTGGACAAAAAAGCAGGCACTCCAAGTGTACGCGGGAAGAGGGGCGGATAGGTTTAATAGCTATTTATATACTGTATTTACTGGCCATGCCCTTTTTTTTTATACACCAATCCGATTATCGCTAGAAAGCCCTGGCTTTGTTCCTCTCTTGAGTGACTCGAGCGATGCCACGTAAACCCGCCCTTGGCTTCCGCCGCTGGTATTCTAGGCATTTCGGGATATTCTTATTTTGTTCCTGCCGAATGGAACAAAGCAACAGAAGAATTTGGCTGTTTCGAATTTCATACAATAAATCTAGTTTTGGAATCCTGTACGTGCCCACGTAATTAAAAAACCGTCTTCAAAATGATTCGAATAGCGTAATCTTCAATAGTGGAGAAAATAAATAATTTTCTTCTATTATGCAGTTCCATTTGGTGTAGTTTTAAGATAGTCTATATATTAATGTAGAATCGGATAGGATTAAGATAACGCTCCCTCGTGATACGCCCTCACGAATCTACCGCGGCTCCCAAAGTTCATATTCTTCAAAGATAGCCGCTCGAGCTGGATCACCTGACCAACACATCCGGTCATTGCGGGCGGGAGTAGGATATTCTCTCAAGCGGCAAGGAGGCGTTGCAGGTTGGGCTAAGTGACTGAAAATGGCGAGTTTGGTCTCAAGGCGATGAGCTGTTGGAGCTGACAAACGTGCTGGTTAGGCGGGATCGTCAACGTCTCTCCCGCCCTCTGGTCGAGAAGCAAGTGGCTGCCAGTTAAGGAGAAGTGCCGCTGAAGAAAAGTTAACGGTGAGGCCTGGGCGGGACAGTGATGCCTTATGCGGGACAGTGATGCCTTATGCGGGACAGTGATGTTCGGATGCTACCGAAGGAGTCAGTGTAGGTGTGCAGCACCCTTTCTGAGGCGATCCTAGTTAATGGGAGGTGATCAGTCATCTTCCATCTCTCTCTCTCTCTCTCCCTTCCTCTCTCTCTCAGTCGTTGCTCTCCCATGTCCCCATGTCATTTGAGAGAGCGAGACTCGATATGTGAGCGGAAGTCTTATGTTTAGCCCTGGCGTTTACAAATTTTGGAGAAAGCTGATTCTGGAATAATTTGTAGGC